AAGTTTGTTGAAAATGTCCAAAAAACATTATTAATTGTCCAAAAAATGTTGCTAAAACTGCTTCTTCTTCTACTGTGATTAAACTGGAGGGCGGCTGTATTCTGAACTTATGGTAACTGAGCACCGTTTAAAATGGCAAAATGTTTGTGACTTTGTTCACAACCTGTTTACTAGGGCTGTGGTCAACCAACGGAAATCCTGGTCGACTAAAATCGCACATAATCTTCAACTAATCGATTAGTCGTGGGGAAAAAAAAAATCTGCGTGTTATTTTTACTTTTGCGGTGGTGTGTCTGTGTCACTCTGCAGTTACACCTCCAAAACACTAGTCAGCGGTGGAGAACTGTGTTAAGAGCTGTAAAGTTTAGTTCAAATCAAACTTTATTTATATAGTTGATTCAAAACACACATTAAACACACATTAAACACACATTAAACATGTCTTAATAGAGACAGTTTCAAAAATGTTATTTTAGTGGAGGCTTTATTGTCTTCACAATTTATTATTTCTTATCTGTGAAATTAAAGTAAATACAAGCTTTGTTTCCACTGAGGGAAATGGTGTCAGCTTACAGAGACAGACAGGAGGTCTGCGTCACCGCGACGCTGAGCGTGAGGGTGGGCGAGTTCAACTGTCATTCAACAACGGGGGTCTTTTGAAAACACCCCCATTTTCACAGGTAACTTAGCCTGTCCCCCCGCCACAGGAAATAATGGATTAATCCTGGAATGCTGTTGATGTAGCACTTTTCTCCTTATGAAAGTAACACGGCGATTATTCGACCAGTGAGAATTTGGTCAGACGAGAGCATAGCGACCAAATAATCGACCAGTCGACCAGGAGACTACAGCCCTACTGTTTACTGACCAGTACTGTTACCATGGTTACCAAGCTGATTGTCATCAGTCTGGTTTCAAACGGTGACTTGGTGGATTCTACTTCCGGTTAAGGTGAGTTTAGGTAAACTGGGACAGTTCAGGCATCTTTTCAGTGAAAACACAAATTAACCCAAAAACGTCCGGGATACTGACACTTGAGTCCAGAATCAAGAAATGGCGGCGTTCTGACCTAAGAATTATTCAGCTTATAAAAATCAAAAAGTAAATACTTGCTGTTTTATTCCAATTATCTTAACTGAGTCGTAGTAAATTTGTACCAAAATTATTACGAGTCAATTTAATTATAGGTGTAACTCTCACTCAGCTCCTTGACACTGCTGTTAACCTGCATCAAACAATAACTCCACTGTAACCTGAGGATGAAAAAGTTACACAAAATGAATGGTTCTCAAGTATTGAAAATTACAACAGTACATTCAGGGATGATGTGATTCAGTGTTTGGATGAAAAGACACATATTCCCAATCCTGTTGAAAATGATTTGGTTGCAGCAACAAAGGATGTGTGTCACTTTCAAATGGATGATGCCTCACAGGCAGCAGCACAGGACACAGACCCCATCACACTTCGTGAAGGCTCACAGGATGATGTGAAACCAAGTGATAGCATATCAAATGTGCAAAGCAGACGATCTGCACAAAGTACTGCAAGTGGAAAAGAAAAGAAAAAAGAAAGGCTCGAGTTGGATGAAGAAATTGCTGCACACTTGGCTAAAGTGAGTGTGCTAACGGCTGCTAGCACATCTGTAACAGATAGGTCAAATGCAATGAATTCTTACCTTGAAAATGAACAAGGAAAAACAGCAAAGTTCAGTATCGACGCCGCTCCTTTCATTCCTCAGAGGCTGGAAACACCTAAACAGCATTCGAAAATCATGGTCAGCGATCAGGTGACAAGGCCTAAAGCAGATAGCTACTTGAAAGCGCCACCCATCTGAGCCCAATCCTCAGTCCAGTGCTCATAATGATCAGACGCAACATGGAACCATTCTCAACACTGAAGGTTCATCAGGCAATGAGGAGCAAAGCAATGTTCTTGACATCATGAAAAGGCAAAATGAAATAACAACACTACTGATACAACAGCAGCAACGGTCATCCTTGCCCAAAAGAGATATTCAGGTCTTTGATGGTGACCCATTGCAGTATCATACATTCCTGAGAGCATTTGAAAATGGTGTTGAAAGTAAGCCTGACAGTTATAGTGATTGCCTGTACTTCCTTGAGCAATTCACTAGAGGTCGCACAAGGGATCTTGTAAGAAGCTGCCAGCATATGGACCCAGAGAGGGGCTATGCTCAGGCTAAAGTCCTACTACAGGAACATTTTGGAGATGAACAAAGGATTGTAGCTGCTTATATGGATAAGGCATTGTCATGGGCCCCAGTTAAATCAGAGGATGTTAAGGCGCTCCAGGACTACAGCTTATTTCTCAGAGGCTGTTCAAATGCAATGAACAAAGTGCAGTACATGTTTGAAATGGATATGCCTGCTAATATGCTGACAATTGTAAAAAGCTGCCTTACAAGCTAAGGGATCGATGGAGGACTATTGCTTGTGAAATACAAGAGAGGCGTAACCAAAGGGCTACATTCAGTGATATTGTTCATTTCATTGAAAGGCAAGCAAGGATTCTAACAGACCCAGTGTTCGGGGACATTCAAGATGCAACACCAGTATTAAGCAGAGGCATAAATCGAACCAGCTTAAAACCCAGATCTAGGCCAAAAGGAAGTAGTTTTGCTACAACTGTGACTACTGCAGAGAACAATAACACTACACCAAAGGAAGTCAAGAAAATCTGTCTGTTTTGTGAGGGTGGACACGCTTTGGAGTTTTGCCCTCGATTGAAGAAAAGGGCTCACACTGAAACAATCAGCTTTTTAAGGGAAAAGGGAGTGTGCTTTGGCTGTTTGTGTATAGGACACGTTAGCAAGGATTGTCGAAAGCGTCTCTCATGCAAAGTGTGCAGTTTGAAACACCCACAATGCTTCACATCCACTCAAAGGAAAAGGAGCCAGTGACGGAAGGAGAACCAGGCACTGCAGTGGGCTGTGCTCTGGTAACCAGTGGGCTTACTGGGGCAGGTGGTCATGATTGCAAGCTTCATATAGTTCCAGTACAGATTAAATCCAAGAAAAGTAATCACACAGTGGTTACTTATGGCTTCTTGGATCAGGGTAGCACGGCTGTTTTCTGCACAGTTAACCTCATGAACAAGCTCAACCTCTCAGGAAAAAGGACACGAATCCTTTTATGGACAATGAGTCAAGAGAAGGTTGTCAATAGCTGTGTGGTCACAGGACTGGAGGTGGCTGGCTTAGACGGGGAGACATACTGTGATTTGCCCAATACCTACACCCAGGAGTGCATGCCAGTGCATAAGGGCAATATTCCATGTCAAAGGGATCTTCAGAGGTGGCCTCACTTGGGAGATGTTCACTTACCTGAGACTGACTCCGAAGTTGAGCCAAATGTACCAAAGGCACTGGAATGACTACAAGTCATCCGTAGTGTGGATGATGGACCCTATGGCATTAAGACTATTCTGGGCTGGACTGTTAATGGACCACTGGGAGGAGACAGTGGTGATGGAATGGATGTTGTGACCGTTAACAGAATCTCAGTCCTGAACTTGGAGGAGCTTTGGCAGCGGCAGTTCATAACAGATTTCCCAGAATGCAGTTATGATGAACAACCTGGTCAGTGGAGAGAAGACCAAAGGTTCATGAAGCTCGTCCAGGATTCAGCCAGGCTTGTAGATGGCCATTACCAGGTTGCATTGCCTCTGAGACAAAGTTGTGTGAACATGCCAAACAAAAAGAAGGTTGCAGAGCAGCGTGCCCTAAACCTAAAGAGGAGGTTCAAAAGAAACTCATCTTTTTTTTTACATAAAATGTCATAAAAAGTAAAAATGTCAAAAAAAATGTAGTAAAAACATCAGTAAAATCTCAGCCAAAGAAAATGTTAACAAAATGTCAGAAAAATATATATTTTTAAAAATTCAGAGAAAAAAAAAAAACAAGAATTAAAATGTCAGGAAAAAAATAAATTGTCACAAAAATCAATACAATTTTAGAAAAAATATTTTATAACATGTCAGAAAAATGTTGATAAAATGTCAGAATTTCTTTCTATAAAACTGAAAAAAAAAATTAGGAAAATGTTGGAAAAAATGTTATTGAAATGTTCTGCCAAAAAAAAAAAGTTCTAAAAAATGTTGATAAATTCATTCTTTTTTTTTTTTTTTTATTTCTGTGTCATGCCATATTTGGCCCGTCCCTCATGGGATTACAAGACACCACTTTTTACAAAACGTACATCTTCCGGTCTTGCATACCAAACGTGGAAAAAGAAAAAGAAACACAGGCAATACATACTAGGTTTCTATATAACATAACTATCATGTATCTTCACATTATCTTGATAAAGCTTTCTCCACATACCTGGCTAATTTATATGTTTCATATGTGAACAGCCAACTCAGTCTTTGTGCATCATCCATATTCATAAAATCAACGTCCATTCTTATCTTACTAAACAAAACTTCACGCAGTTCACAATACAAACGACAGTTGAAAACAAAATGAAACACATTTTCTGTATCATTTAGACAACACATTGGACAAATCCAGCTTTCTTCTTCTACATTAACATACCGTCCAGTTTCCACAGTCAAAGGTAAAATACCAGATCTCAGCTGGGCACATAAAGATCTCTGCTTTTTAGACAAATTATATACAACATAATTCTCTGTGCCATATTCAGTTTTTATCCTCGTAAAAGTAGGAAATTTTGGTCAAACAAATCAATTAACAAATCAATGTTAAGCTTTTTGCCCCCCCCCCAAAAAAAAATGTTGACAAAATGTTTGAAAAAAAAAAAAAATAATAAAATAAATTGTGTTATGGGCACTATATCCTGCGGTGTGTCAGGTTGCTCACCTGGCATCAAATGACAGTTTGTCTCTGTTTCCTGTTTCCTGTTTGGTGCAGACATCCAGCAGCTGTTGGTGGTTAAAGAAGAGGTTCCCCCTGAGCAGCAGGAGTGGAGCTCCAGTGTGGACCAGGAGGACCCAGAGCCCCCACACATTAAAGAGGAAGAGGAGGAACTGTGGAGCAGTCAGGAGGGAGAGCAGCTTCAAGGGCTGGAGGAGGCTGATATCACCAAGTTCACATTCACTCCTGTCCCTGTGAAGAGTGAAGATGATGAAGAGACACCTCAGTCTGGGGGACACCACTGTGGAGGACCAGGAGCAGGACCAGCGCCCGAAGACGATGACGCTGATGATTGGACAGAGACCAGAGGACCTCAGACAGAATTAACCCATCTGAGTCTGAACATGTCTGTCCCTGCCAGTGACTGTCGCACTGACGAGAAACCCTTCAGCTGCAATGTGTGTGGGAAAAGAATCATGCAGAAGGGCTACTTGAAGACACACATGAGGACCCACACAGGAGAGAGACCGTTCGGCTGCTCCGTCTGCAGTAAGTCCTTCTCACAAAGTGGGAGTTTACAGAGACACATGAGGACGCACACTGGAGAGAAACCCTATATTTGCTCCGTTTGTGGGAAAGCTTTCAGCGAAACCGGAAACCTGAAGGTTCACATTAAAACTCACACGGGAGAGAGACCGTACAGCTGCTCCGTGTGTGGGAAAGCTTTCATCGAGAGTATCCACCTGAAGGTGCACATGTGGAACCACACGGGGCAGAAACCTTTCGGCTGCTCCTTGTGTGGGAAAAGATTCCCCTGCAATGAGAATTTGGTGCGTCACACGAGGACTCACACGGGAGAGAAGTCGCTTGGCTGCAGCTGATGAAGAGGACTGCGGAGGACGGGGGAGACCAGACAAGAAGTAGTCTTAATCAAAGCCGACAGAAAAATGTCAGCGAGTTTTAGAAACACTTAGTATGAGACTCTTTACTTTTACTTTTGTGTCACTTACTTGTGTTTTCACATGACGATCCACTCAGGAGAGAGACCGTCAACCTCAAGAGTCAGAAACAGGAAGTGAAAGCAGGAAGTGGAGCTGCTGCTGATTATTACATATTAAAGTTAAATATTTAGCTGCTTATTATTCAGCAACGTTTTCTCTTCAGTTTAACTCTTCAAAATCAGACACCTGTGGGTAGCTGAGGCCTTTGTCTTCCCCATCGCCACGTCATGACCTCATGTTACTGTACGTTCTGTGCAGATATGGTACTTTGCTGTAATGACGCCAGCATTTCCCCGTTATGACTGCAGGAGATAGTTGTTTCCATAATCCTGTGTATATATATTTATCAAAAATAAAACCTGTAAAAGTTTGAATATTCAGCTAAAGGCACAAAACACGCCGGTGGTGAACGCCATGTGTCAACAAATAGGCCCCTGTTATTTTCAACGTACGACCCCACACTGGTGGTGGCAAGAAGTGCGTTGGTGCTCTGCCACTGTCCTGTTTCCAGCCTCGCTGCCCCCACATTTAAATGCATTTTCCCCACTAGCAGCTCTTGTCTGCTCCCGTAGCAGCTCGACTCCTCTCCTCATCACAGATGTGTAAAGAGAACTCTGTAGCTGTTTCTAACGGATGAGGAGAGACTTGAAAAACATGCTAAACTAAATGACCCACAATCGTTGTGACAACCTATCAGATACTTCCTGTGATTTGAAGCTTAAGCCTAGTTCACATTACACGATTTTCACCACGATTTTGACGTCGCAGAGGATCTTGAGAGCCACTTTGGGTCGGAGGTGAGTTGGCAGGTAGACTGTCCTCATGTGTGAACAACCCTCTGAGCCAGTCGCCCCCTCGTCTGTGACTGGGACTGGATATCTGGCATGCTAGAAAACTGGAGAGGTGTGACATGACTGACAAAGAGCATCAGCTAATGAGAGGCGGGATACGTCCCACATCAGCACGCAGGAGGACGGAATAAATGTGAGGAGGACAAGCCAGCAAGCAACAACAACAATAGCGGCGTCCACAGGAGCACATAGTGCGTGTTGTGTTCGGACCCAGGCTCTGGAGGCAGATCTGATTCATTTATTTTTACTTCCACGCAATTTAAATAACCCACCTGTAGCCAGAAAACACAGGGTCAAGGACAGACATTCTCTAGGGGATATGGCAAGCCTAAATCTGGTGTCTTTCCTTGAGATGTGCAGCTCTACCAGCCCCAGCAAGAAATCAAAGTCATCCGCTGTCATCTGTAGCATTTCCTGAAAACCCGTTCGATCACTCAGCTATGACAGGTACAATAATCTGGGTCAGAATACATGCATAGACTATATACAGGGATTAAAGTTCTCCGGCACACAGCGGATTTCCGGCGTGGCGAAGTTTCTGTCCAGCACGGGCAGAAGTGCTCTACAGTGCGAGCATTTAACTTGCATTTGCCCCTAAAAATATATATATGTGCGAACCGGGAAAATGATTTAGGTGCACAGTGTGCGAGTAAACACAACCTACTGTTTACTGTAATCGGCATCGTACGTTTTTCCATCGATAACCGATCAAATAAATGTATTTTAAAACTCGCTCCTTTGGCTCTGACACAGCTGTCTCCCTCCCTACCTGCAGTCCCCACTGCACTGGGCTTTGTAACAATGTCCCGCCTACAGCCCCCTCTGATTGGTTACACGGCACAAGTGATAGCCAGTCAACACTGACGCCTGTGCATGCTTTCACATCATGTCAAATTGAGAAACAGAGCACAGACAGAGTGGGAGACGCTCCGGTAAGCCAGCTGTAATTTTGAAGGTAAGGTAACTGAAACCAGACAGAAACTAAAGTTGCAATAAAAATGCTTTATGCTGAAGTTTTAAAGTCACCACCACAACGTTATATGATCCATGTCAATGATGACATGCTTGCCCAGAGGCGAAATTTCGACCTAACTGCCTGTTTAATTCACATCAAGCGCGATACAATTTTGCAAACAGCCTAAATGATTTAGCTTCTAAAAATAAATAGCACCAAGGCAAAAAAGAGATGTAGGAGCTATAAGTCAAAAAGTCTGGTAACCACTGAAAGTTTAATCTTTATTTATAAACTCATTATACTATAAAAGTTTAATCTGAAAAGTAACGACTAAAGCTATAATCTTTTTGTTTGTGTTGATAATAAACACTTTCCTTTGCAACACATACATTTCTATTTCTTCATTTTGTGACCGCAGCACCAAGCCCCCCGCTCGGGAAAATATTTCAGATTTCAGGCACACAAATCTTCCGAGCTCCACATTTCAGGCACAAAATTTTTTCTTGCTTTAACCCCTGCTATATAGACAGTACGATGAAAGCTAATAGGCTAGCGGCGCAGTGGCAACTGAGTTTCATTCACAGAACTCACCTCCAACTCTGCAGAGTTGACAACCTGCGCAATCTGCGTGCAGCAACCTTTTCCTTTCCCCAAATCCCTCTCTTCGTTTCCTGTTTCTTCTCAGCGCAGAGCAGGGCACAAACGACCTGCAGAGCTCCAAGCTGTTGGACATCTATGTTGACAAGTAGCGCCAGGGAACTTCATAATATCCTGTTTTGGTCACGCGTGACAAAATGTAGTTTGGTGTGTGTCATGTCACATGCCATACAGTGGTGGCGCCGGTGTGTTTTCAGTCCGAGGCTTCTGTCTTCCTGTCATCACATTTCATTGGTTATCACCAGGCTGTAAATGTTTTTCCACTGATTCTCAAAAACATCAGCTGAGAGACGACTCATCAGCTGTTTCCTGACGTCAGAGAAGAAATGCTCACTGATGGCGGTAACTGGTAAAAGATGTGGCTCGATGATGATGTCAGGACTAATTCAGGTGTTTGAGAAATGAACAGGTGAATTTATTTTTTATTAAATATCTAGAGAAGAAAACAGAGTGATGTCATCTGCAGATTCTTGTCACCAGTTCAATGTTGGGACCTTCTGTTTTTTTTGGTGTCTGAGATGGTGCTTTCTGTTTTCGTTGTTTTCTATTTTTTTTTCTGTTTTTTATTCGTTATTTTTTCTATTGTGTCTTTTTTTTCACATATATTTATATATCCTTAAAGAGCTCAGTGTCTATATCAGTTTTGTAAAAGCACCATCTCTTATTTTGTATTTGTTTATTTACCAATAACTTCTGTGTTTTTCATATTTCCTTCTGATCTGTGCAAACTGACGCCGCTCTCAATAAAACCATTGAACTATGACATCATGACCTGATAGTTGTTTCCATGATCCTGTATATGTGTTGATATAACACAGAAACCAACCAGCAGCAGAAAACTGAAGCTTCTCTTTCTCGTGTCATTGCATTGAACACTCATCATGATGTCACTGAGCTGCATGACGTGTGGTGCAACAACACACAGAAACATGAGTGATGTCTTTTCACGTTGCTCATAAAAGTGATCACATCTTAAAGCTATGGTCTACGTTTAGAAAGATAGATCAGTATCATTAACATCATTTAGATGGTGGTTATGGCCCAATAGTGCTAGCTGCACAATGAACAGAACAGATCAACATAATAAATTAACAGTAATCTGTATGACACAATGAAGTAGCTTACAACAACATTAATGAAAGTAATAATATTATAGTTATAGTTCTGGCTACTGTGGTACAATATGTTGAAAGTATGTATTAATATCTGACAGTATACATGTGTGACAATAGTCATATGTGTATAATAACAGTAGAAGTATGACTAATGACTAATGATGGCAGCAGCAGCAGGAGGCATCTGGCAGGACCACGGCAGCAGCACAACCACACACGTCACGCTGTCCAGGCACCGCTGTGATATGAGTTAATCTGAGAGACAGTGGAGCACAAAGGCTCCGGAGAAGAAGCCGAGTTAGTGACATCCAGAATGGCCGAGTTAGCAAGATGCAGTAATAGAATACGAGAGAGAGAGAGAGAGAAGGAGAGAAGGTGCCCGGTGTATTATAGAGGGGTCCTCCGGCAGACTAGGCCTAAGTCAGCCTAACTAGGGGCTGGTACAGGGCAAGCCTGAGCCAGCCCTAACTATAAGCTTTATCAAAGAGGAAAGTCTTAAGTCTAGTCTTAAATGTGGAGAGCAAAAGGAACCAAAAAAAATCTATTCTCTCTGGTGGCTGCAGGAGCTGCAAAGAAATTGACCAATCACAGCCATCTGGTCCACATGGGAGTTACTCCTTGCTCAAATTTGCACTCTCTCTCTCTCTTACCCTCCGTCCAATCCCCTCGCTCCATTTTGACACTCCTCTGCTCCTCTGAGCGATTCAGATACACGAGTTTCGATATGGAAAAAAAAGAGAGCGACAGCAGGAAGCAGCCTCTGCTTGCCCCACTGGCAAAGGCTGAAAGGAAGTGTAGGTCTGCCTCTGAAAAGGCAGAAACGAAGAGGAAATGCGACAGATTAAGGGCTCAAAGCAGAGTAAACATCGGGTCATCCTTTGACCGATGGAGAAAGCTCTGGCAAGATCTGGGCCTGAAAAGTGCTGCTGATATAGCAGAGTTTTTGTTGAACAGGTAATATTTCGTTTTTACTGTGGATGTTGTGACATAGATAACTGTATGCCAATGCTGGCTTATGACTGTGAAAGCTGCCATTAGTTTTTGTGTGGTTAGATGGTGTCGAAACATTTTTTGTCTGCAATATTGTCAACACTTGTTTACTTGTTCGACGGAGACGTTAGCCTCATTTTTAGCATTGTAAGCTAAAATTGCTATCATGTTTACACATTGTCACATCAGCATGTTTCCTTAGGAGGCTACGAGGGGAGGGAGGGGTGGGAGCACAGAGGGAGGGGGGTGTGTGTGTGTGTGTGTGTGTGTGTGTGTGTGTGGCAGAGACTTAAGAAATATTTCATGTTTCTACATTTAAAGATGTGTCGGCTCGTGCAGGTGTCTTTAACTCCTTAACCGAAGCAACATCCGCCGCCACCTGCAGAGTGGAATTCATTTTCCGAATCTACTTGAGCATGTTGTTGTTGTCGTTCCTTCCAGTGCGGCTTTGTCTGGCTTAGATTTTTCCCGTGGAGATTTAATCTCTGGTACCACTGTCGGCGAGGGGCTCCTTCCCACAACTTTGAAAAAGTCTGACTATACTACATTTAAAATTTTCGTTGACATGATGCATTACTGTTTACTACGACATTTAGAATTTTCTTTTTTAAGTTCTGAATTTTCATTGACTGAAACGTTGAATATTGCTCAGCATTTCCCCGCAGAGTTTTGACGACAACACTTTTCTCTCGAAAAAGACACTTACGTTGTAGTTATCGGCCAAGTGTACATTTCCAAATTTATGAAGTTAATCAGTGGTTGTCGGGAGCTCCATGAGTGAGCTACCATCTTTCTCAGCAGTTACGACATGCT